AAATTTCTTGTGCCAGGCATATCCCTCCTCCAGGATGGTACTGAGGTCTTGGTATAAAGCCATCTCAGATCTCTCTCTCTCTCCTTACCTATTTCAAATTCTTCCCTGTACTATAATGTAAGAGAAACTGGTCTGTGAAAGGTATACCCACACAAGACAAAAACTATTAATAATATGTGGAAAGGCAGGAAAACTTTTTCAATTTAAATTTTTATTCAGGGATGTTCTTGGGTTTTTTTTTTAAGTTTTATGAAAAAGGTAAAGAAAAAAATAAAAGAAGAACTACAAACGACTGACAGAAGAAACTAAAAATTAGTGCTCCACACAGTCAAAATTCGCCTCTCTAATGTGATGATTTATTTGGTTCTCATTTCCTATCCCAATTCTAAAACAGATGAAACATAGTCGATGTTAACGTCTCAAAATTCAACAACTTGTAAATGCATTAAAAAATGAAAATTATTATAAAATATATTAATTAGTAAACACTATTATTAATTGTCCTAAAAAGTTTTATCACAACAATCACTTTGTCCACAAATTAAAGTACCCATACTTCTGTGCTCCTAAATTAGTGCTGTTCCCTGTGCTCCAGAGCCTTTCCCCACCCCTACTCCATCTCTCTCAGCCCTGAGCCGTTACCCCACCCTTCTGCAGCCCTACAAACTTTGTTTTGATGTGTCTTCTGCAAAGATTTTTTTTAACTCTCCAATACACACAGGTAGACAAAGAGATTAATCATGCTATTGTTTATGCCATTTCCCTTTTACCTACTAGTTCTTATAACTATTACCATAAAATGCAAATCTGAAGAACAGCTACACCAGGGCAAGTATTCTGTCTTCTATCCCCACCACCTTACACAATGACTATAACTTAGTAGGTTCTTGTTTAATTTATGGGTACTTAAACTATTGGTGGTATATTCATACTCCACGCAACTTCCGTGTTTTTCCTAAAATATGTTTTCTCCGTATGAAAATGTGTGCAATTCTGCCATTAGCAATCAGTCCCTGAAATTATTCTGGTTAACTAAAATCACATACTCAGAAGCACCTAATACCTTACTCCACTTGATGGCGCCAAAAGGTTTTTTAACAATGTCTGTTAGACCCACTAAAATTTCAGCAGGGAGTAAAATACAAGACAAGATTGAAGTTAAGATTCTTTGAACTGTTTTAATATAATAAATGTTCATTATCCACAGCTCTTGGTTATTGTGTAGTGTTTTAATGGTTCTGATTGATCTAGACACAAAGAAAGAGTAAAGAATGAAGAAACGTTCATGCAAACAAGGGTTATTTTGAATATTTTAAAACAAAATTCAGAATTCAACCATTCAGTCCATTCTGATTTAGCAAGCTAATAGAAAGTTCCAGTGAAGCGAGTGTGTTTTGGTTTGGTTTGGTTTGGTTCGGTTTTTTTTTAAAAAAAAAAACGGTAACCGCGGGTGTCTACAGCCCTACCCCACTGAATGCTCCTGATCTCGTGAAGCTAAGCAGGGTCAGGCCTTGCTGGGACTTGGATGAGAGACGGCTTGGAAACACCAGGTGCTGTAGGATTTTAGGGCTGGGCACTGTGGCTTAATCCCAGCACTTTGGCCTGCCGAGGCAGGCAGATCACTTGAAGTCAGGAGTTCTAAACCAGCCTGGCCAATATGGTGAAACCCCATCTCTATTAAAAATACAAAAATTAGCCAGGCATGGTGGTGCACACCTGTAATTCCAGCTACTCAGGAGGCTGAGGCAGGAGAAACATTTGAACCCAGGAGGCGGAGGCTGCAGTAAGCCAAGATTGCACCACTGCACTCCAGCCTGGGTGACAGAGTGACACTCTGTATCAAAAAAAAAAAAAAAAAAAAGGTAACTAAGATATCTATAAAGTCATTATTTCCTGCTATCCTCCTTTATGCATGTGCCTTCACTTTTTCCCCACTCCATCAATGACAAAAGAGAACTAACAGGGGCAGAAGAAAATATAGCTAAGAACAGGAAAGGACTGCTGCAGTAAATAAGAAACCTAAAGAATAAAATTTCAGGCCTTAGCAAGATGACAGGTCCATAGTGCATAGTCAAATGCTTTCATATCCAAGGAAAGGAGGAAGCAAACCAGACCCAGGCTGGAGCAAAATCTGAACATCCAACAGAGAGAATTTTATTTCCTTGGAGACACAATACATGTTATTGCTTAAAGTAGATGTGATCACACACAGGTGCACACACACACACACACACACACACAAACACACACACAGTCTTTGACCCTCATATTAGAAAAGCGTCATTTCATTGAAATGTATATTTAGTATCTTCATCTCACTTATCACTCGTTCAATCTGCTTATGCAAACCCTGATATTATACATGAAAATTCTAACTCCTAAATCACTAACAAAAAGAGAGATAAGTGATTTAAAATGAAAGATAGTGATTGATTACATCTTCTATAGCAATATGTTCCTGATGGATTTTCCAAAACATGGTATTTCAGTGGCCACAAGAAGGTGCATAACCCCAGATCAAGGAGCTTAAAGGGAACTGATGGATGAGGTCTTCTGGACCATGTGACTTCTAAGGTTTCTTCTGGGTAATGTAAATATAAACATAACTAGCAGGAAAATATATTGAAATTGTCAAGAGATAATTTTTACTTTCTCCTTTTTACTATTCCATGTGTTACATGACCTTTTATCATCAAAGAAAAATAGTAACTCTCACCCTACCAAGGACTGGCAGCAAACCTGAAGACATACAACTGACAGTCTCCCTGAGGGGAACCCCAAGTATATAACATGGCCGTAAAGGAGAAATTTACCACCCAGGGTATTGGATACTGTATACTGATTAATGAACCAATTGGAGCCTCTTGGAGAGTTTGAAGGGGAAATACATTGAAGGCAAGATCCTGAAGCCTGGGCACCCACAGAGAGGAGAGACGCTACCCAGAACTCATGACCTGGTAGAAGCCAGGAGGCTGAGAAATAGTACAGCAAGTAAGCAACAAATCAGTAAAAGCACCTCCACATTTGAATCCCAAATACCTGTCCTAGAAATCACTTGATACTAATTTGGGAAAATTAGTAATATCAAACACTTTGATTCATTCTTGGAACTGTTCTATTCCCTGAATTTTTATCCTCTTCTTCCCATTTATTCCATTCAGGCTTCATGCTGGTCAGTTAATGGGACAACTGTCTTAAGTACACATCTTTAAAACATTTATTTCAATACATAAGGACAATGATAACTTCTTCTTAAAGAATGCCTTACCTCCAGAAGCCATGGCTTTAGTTTTCTATCCAACAAAATATCAAATCCCAGGACTTCAAAGCAGACACTTTCACTTCCTGGAGGCTGACCAGGTCTGCACATTCGATATGCATGCAGGACATGAGGTTCTGCTACAATCAGGGTCTTTACCACCAATTCCTATAAGATTGTGATAAAAGAGGTGAAAATGCCTTTGTGTCTCATTTCACATGTGTCAATATAACCAGGGCCTACAAACTGGCAGCCTGGCCAAGTTTACAAAGCTCTGTGGTATCTAGCCCCTGCTACTGCTCTGACTTTATTTTTCACTCTTACCCTCATGCTTGCCTTGGGATCCTCAAGTAAGACACTTTTTCCTACCTTACATCCTCTGCATTCACGGTTCCCTCTTGCGGAATACTCTTTCCCCTGTATTCCCAAGTCTAGCTCTTAGACATTCAGAGAGGCCTTCCCAACCCCCAAGTTAAAAGCAGCCACCCTTCATTCCTTAGCATCACTACATACAACATATAACCAGTTGATATTTTCTTTCTACATTAGAGAAGACTCCTTGTCTGACTTATTTATAACACCATTCCCAGTGCCTACAATAGTAGCTAGCATTTAGTAGGTATCTAAAAACATTTGCAAACAAGTAAAATAAAGGTGATAAATGTGGTTTCTATAAGTCAAAACAAGTAAGGGAGGAGCATATGCTAGCCCCATCCAGAAGAGATGAGGGTGATAGGGAGGAAAAATTCCAAGGAGAGTAAATTATTTCACAAACACCGGTATAGAAACTCCCCTTAGATAAAGGCTGAAAGGGCTGGGAAGACAAAATCTATGAGAGCTGAGTTTCTTTATTCAGTGATGATACTGTGGTGTTTAAGTTTTACCTGAGAAGAGTGTTGCCAATTAAAAGATTGACTCTCAATATTTTCTGAGAAAAAAATACATAATACTACTGGGGTGAGTTATTAATCCTAATTTTTTAAAAGTTATTTTACTGAAGTTTCAGAACAAGCTATAAAAGAAAAGCTGTCTCACCCATTTTTGCTCAGAAGATACTGTCATTTTAACTCCCTCTCTATAGGTATAGGCAATAGAAAAAGACAGTTAAGAGCCTGGCTCTAAAGTAAGATTTCCTGTGTTTATTCCTGGCTTTGTAACTTGTTAGCTATGCAACCTCAGTCATGTTGCTTACACTTTGTGAGTCTCATTTTTTCCTCAGTTTAAATATAAACCGCAAAAAGTTAACATAAGAACAAAATGAGATTCCATGTAAAACTCTTAACATAATGCCCAGAGTCCTATTATAGTTACTGTTATTCTATCATTCCTCTAGAATTCCACCTCATATGTGAGGTTAGTCTCAAATATTCCACTACCTGTTGGAACAGTATTTGTTAAATGAGTGATAAAAGGGAAGACAGAAGTTAACCTCACTGTTAACCAGAATCACAACCCAGTTCATATTTGGGAATAAGTATCAAAAGTGCCATGAGAGGCTGTTTTCAAAAAATTTTGCTCAAGGTAACAAATTCATGATGGCACCATAGCATATAAAATAAAAGACAAAAAGCCACTTTATGTAAATCTTTGCCAATATTACTGAAACCACTTGAGAGGAGGAAAAAGTTAAAACTTTGATAAGTATCTGTGTGAAACAGTACAGGCTGAGGAAGGGGGTGGAGACTGATTATTAATCAGACCCTGAATTAAGAATCTGTTTTTGCTACATAGAAAATAATGTCCTTTTAGATTGTAAAGGCAAGATTTCCAGTAAATGTGACAATAGGAATGATATAAACAAATACAAATAAGTTTTCAATTAGCAATAATCACGCCTCAGCTAAACCCCATTGGCTACGATACTGCCACTGTGCAAAGCTAACAAATAACAAATAAAATTCTACTACAGTTTTTGAGAATTTTCAACATGATATCACTGCTTTGAAATGCGACTTGTAGATTTACACCTTAGATATACAAAAAGCAGTAAGGATAGTTATTTTTTAACAATTATACTCATTTTTAAACTCCATTGTTTGATTTTCTACTGATTTGTTATTGACCAGAACAAAAGTACACGGCTCTGTCTTCACAAAGGGTACTGATGAATTCTGCTTTTTATATATTAATAGTTACTTTTTGAGAAATTACCCACCAAAATGAGGTCATTAAAAATAAGTTATAAGTTAAATTCAGGGAATTTCTAAACTAAGACATCAAAATTAAAATTTACTGCATAATTGCCTTCTTCACCTCCTCCTGCCATTCTCTTTTTATACTATCCCACTGATTCATCTTAAAGAGGTAGCTATATAAAGTATACCAATTCTTAATAAAGACAGCCAATTTTCAAATAATTACATAAATGGAGACAGTTGTTTGACAAAATAATTATAACAAAAGTACTTGAAATGCTAGGTTTATTAACTGATTATTTATAGATGATTAATATACATTCTAACATAGCCAAGAATGAGGCAAAATTTGTCCACTTATAAACAAGACCATGAAAAGTGTCAGAGCTTAATAGGCCCACATTGGCTATGTTTGGGTCATATCTAAAAACTATACTTAAGGTCCTAACAGAAAGTTAATGTCCATATCCTCTCAGTAGCATTAGTCTTGCTGTATACCTTCTCTTAATTCAATTGTGTGGGGAAAACGACACTTAAAACCAGTATATGTAAAGCTAATGACCCTCATTATTCTCTCTGGTTCACTCCATAACTGCCTCACCAAAGAAGCCCAACAGGTTCTACCTTTTCACAAAGATGTCCTCAAAAAGCCAAATACATATGACAGTTAAAAATGTGTACAGAAAAAAAAGAATGCCAGAGGATATATAAAACTTTCTGGGTCCCACTGAGCAATAGACCAATTCACTGAATTATCATCAGACAGAAGATTGTATGATCTTCCATCAATGAACTACAGTCCAAAATTACTGAATTTCACCATTTTGATGCTTCTGACCCACTATGATAGTAAACTGTCATTAGAATAGTTTTTGGAATTTCCACAAAATTGGCCTTGAGAAAGTAATTACATCAATAAACAAATGTAGCATTATTGTGATCCAATTTCTCATTTACATGCATTTCATCTCTTAGGAAGCTATAATCAAAAGTTAACAAACTGTTGGTTATCTGACCAAATTCAGATGACAAACACTTTTGTTTGAGTCCCAACATTTTTAAAATTCTTGAGTCCATTGCCAACATTTAAAATTATTTTTTTCATTTTTATAATTTACACATAATTTACCAACAATTTACCAACAAGTTAGAAGAATGTGCCCCACCGGGCCTAAAATATCATTGGCACCAACAAGCTGGTGCTGAGTGGTGGCTACCTCCTTCAGACCTCTCCTGATTTTCAAATTATCACAGTTCCAGAGCAACCTAGTTTCTTCTCTCCAGACCACTTCACTCCTCTTATTTGCCTGACACCTAAGGACCTTTGGATATATGGCCTGCGATATAGAAAGTAAGGTAAAATGTCAACAAACAAAATAATCAACAAAAGGATAAACAGAGCCACGTGCCACAAAAGAGCATTTTGGTTGACAGTGCACAGCATATTCAACAGTGGTCACATAAGATTATAATATTGTACCTTTACTGTACCTGATCTATGTTTAGATATACAATCTTTACCATTGTCTTACAATCACCTACACTATTCAGTACAGCAATAATTTTTGTTTTTTTGAGACCGAGTCTTGCTCTGTCGCCAAGGCTGAAGTGCATGATCTCGGCTCACCGCAACCTCTGCCTCCTGGGTTCAAGCAATTCTCCTGCCTCAGCCTCCCGAATAGCTGGGATTACAGGGGCATGCCACCACATTCAGCTAATTTTTTATATTTTTGGTAGAAACGCGGTTTCATCATGTTGGCCAGGCTGGTCACAAACTGCTGACCTCAAATGATCCACTCGTCTCAGCCTCCCAAAGTGCTGGGATTACAGGAGTGAGCCACCGCACCCGGCCCAGTAATGTTTTGTACAGGTTTTGAGACTAGGAGCCACAGGCTATACCATATACAGGTTATCTGATAGTCTAGGTGTGTAGTGGGCTATTCCTAGTCTAGATTTGTGTAAGTACAATCTGTGATGTCTGCACAATGACAAAATCACCCAAGGATGCATTTCTCAGAATGCATCCCTGTTGTTAAGCAGTGTGTCTCTGTAGAATGATTTGATTTTTCTCTCTAGTCTTCTCAATTAGAGAAAACCAAGTTCAATCAATACTTAATGAACTTTCATGGCCTGATGGTGCTTCAGATTACTGCTGAGGAAAGACAGTTATAATTGTGGAATGGCATAATCTTACTGAAATATCACTCCAAAACTTAGCAACATCATGTTGATTTGCTTGCAGGAATTCTGTAAACCATTTGATGGAACGTTTGCTGCCTTTGTTCTCAGTCTCATCCCGTTCAAAACGCTCATTATGCTTGTTCACAGAGTAGTTTGTCAGATGCATGTATAACTGGGTCTGTAACAAGTAATAACAAAAGTTGTTACCACCTATGGCGTCCTAGAACTGCAAGGTTTCAGAGGAAAAAAACACACTCAAAGACTAAAGAAAGTTTTAAAGTTTAAACTATAGAGATAACAATCTCATGATTATTTAAATAATATCCCAATTAAATGGAATGGCACATTTCTCTTAAAAGTATTGAGAATGTAACCATCTACAAGGTTACTTTGCAATATTATTAAAAATATATTTACCATTAAAAAGTATCAAATTAATAAAACTATAGAGAGTAATTAAAATCTGAAGCTACTTATTGCTAAGCAAGAAAAATGATCTGTTTGTTGTTGTTAATTTGTCTGTTTTTAATGTTTTCTGCTCTCATCGTTTTCAGTCAAATCTGTTTTGGGAAAGGACTTTTCTGAGACAGCATTCTATGTCCTTTCAAAGAAACATAAAAATAAAAACGCAGGTAACATAAGTCAAGAGGCAGAACCACCAAACACAACCTCGGCACACCCATACTGACTGGGAGGCCCCTTTAGCTTGGAAGCAGACAGAGTGCACTTGGAGTCAGCAGACAGAATGCACCAAATAATACTATGCAGATGTCCAGTATGGTATTGTGCTCCATACTGGAACCCTACATTTTCATCTCTTTATAATCTTACATTTGTTGATACTATTTTCCTTAAGCAAACTTGAAAAAAAATCCAAAGTTTAAAACTCCTCATAATTGTCAATTAATATGCATCTAATGTCTTTTTATTAAGCTAGCAGAAGCATTCATAAAATCTCTTTAATTCCTATCCTCATCATGATCCTAAAGATTACTTTAGATAGCAATGTTGTATCACAATTAAAATATACTTCATTCACATGATTATTATTTTGATTTGTTAATAACCAACTATATTCACATCATATTTTATTTTCACTGCAATTCCTTAAGTTTATGGTGTTGAAATCTTTGAAACAAGAAGGCAGAAATGATCATTTGAGGTACATGTTGTTTATTAATCCATGTGCCTACCACTAAATAAAAATTTATTTTTTTCATTCATTAAACAATGTTTAAGGAACACCTACTATCTACAGCAATGTCTGCTGGGCACTGTGGATGCAAAAACAACAAAATAAATAACAGTCTCTATCCTTACAAAACAGGAAAAGCTTTAAATTAAATGATACTTTAAAGAAACAGGATAGATCTTATGCTTGCCTAATTCTAAGTGCTTAAAGAAATATAAAATTAATCAAGCTGTAGCATTTCCTAGTTTCCAAAATATAAATTTTCTTTAACTTTTAAAGAAGAAGTTTGGAAAATAATTTTGTCAGAAAGTCTTTATTTGGCAAGAATTTATTAAAATTAATAATACTAATAACACTAGCTGTTCTAATGAAAAATTAAGTAAGGGAACTTTGCATTTTTCTTAAATAGTGTATTTGTAAATGGATTGGAAATTCCACAACTTCACATTTACCTTGACAAAAATAGACATCTAAGCAGTTCACTGCCAGTTAGTCATTTGCAAGAAACAGAAGCAAAAGCAGCTATGAACCATATAGCAATCTGCAAGGAGTGAAAATAATATAACCATAGCCCATCCTGTTTTTCAGCATGTAGGCTTGATATAATATATTGGTGTACACAAAGTTTTTCAAGGATTGGCCAACCACTATACCAGTAACAAAAAAATGAAAATTTATTATATTTCAATGTTTGAAATTCTGTCTTATAATCTCCTTATATGTCATTTATTAACATTTAATTCTTATAGAAATAATACAGCTGAATATAAAATAAATGCTCACTATTTGAAAAATTTGAAATAAGAAGAAGGAAAAAATCTGTAGCAAGCTGCTGTCCAGAAATAACAAATGAGCACTTTGGTTTAATTTCTCTAGTCTTTTTTTCTAAACTTATTTTTAACATAACTTTGGTCTCACTTTACATACACTGTGACCATACTATATCAATGTTATCTGTGTTATCTGTGTTATCTGAAATATATCTCAAATCTATGCTCTTATTCTTGGTCCAGACCCACTGCTACTATTTCAGTTCAAGTCCTTTTTCCTTCCATATGTGGTCAGACTAGAATACAACGTCACATATTATTCAAAATATATGTAACTTCTTGTCTCTCTTACTCTAATCATTCCCATCCATCTCCACCCACCTCTCACATTCCAGACCAGGGACCATTCCTTCTTTCATTTGTGTAAAACCTTTCAATCCTTCCATCTTAAGTTAAATTCTAAAATCCTAGACAAGGCCTACAAAGCCTTAGAAGATCTAGCTTCTAGCACTCACCATCCTCATCTCTGAACAGCCAGGCCCTCCTTCTTAGTCTATACTTCAGCTATACTGACCTTGTCTGCTTTCTCCACACATGCCATA